TCATGGGCTGTCAAGAGAACAATCAGGTTATGTCTTGAAAGGGTACAGCCAGCCAGAGCACTTCTGGAGGCAAGGATGACAAAGATTCACTTTCATGTAGCCAAGCAAGGGTATTCCTTGGAAAGAAACATTATGTTTGGAAGGAGGGAGATCAGTGAAGGAGAGGAAGACTCCCAATGAGACAGACTAACATGATGACTATCATGTCACCTACCAACAACTGTCTGTAAAGTTACACACTGTCACCAGAGCTCCTTAAGAGCCGTTTCATCCCTCCGGTGTGTTCTGCAGACAGAAAGTTGGCACTCAGTAAATTAGTCTGCATATGGGGAAGAGGCTTTCTGTCCTATTGACACATCTGACGTGGCGTCATCTAAAGTCATGTCGATTTATATTCCCATCTCTCTCTCTTTTGACTTTGAGGAAAGGGGTCTCAACAAAGAGATCTTACCAAACAACCTATCTTTTCCCTAATTTCCTTCAAATCTGGGCTTTATGCCTCCCACTCCCCAGCCCACCCTCTTTTCTACAACCTGATCCATTCTTCCAACGAGCCAGGTTCATGAGATAGGGCCCAGCCCAGATGCTGGGGTCCAGAGTTAGAACACAGCTTCTTCTCTTTCCTCCACCCTCTTTGACTCTTACTTCTCACCTTAAACTATTCTAGATACAACTGGGACACACAGTAGGAACTAAACAGATGTAACTGGAACAAAATGCAGCGTTCCCTGGCTACCAGCACCTAAATGGATAGGCTCTTTTTCAGAATTCCTAGAACTCTTTGTGCTGTGTCCTAAATAAGTGCACCCAGCCCTTAAACCAGCTAACTGTCAGAATCATCTGTGAAAGTTATAAATGCAGATTCCTGGGCCTCCACCCCAGCCTACTGGAAAGGAGTCTCAGGAAAGCATACTTTTGCAAGTCCCATGGGGAGTTTAAGGATGTGAAAAGTAACCCAGCTGGGGAATCCTGACCCAAGAACAGCAAGAAGTACAAATGAGCTCGGAAAGAGCTTCCCACTCTAAACTGGATCTGCTTATTTTTGTCCTTTCTTCATCACATCCTGTTGTCTTCATCACAAGGCAAATATAAAACACCAGATGAGCTCCAAAACCCCGCAGAGGTCTGAAGGAAGCCAGGAAAGGAGACAGCCCAGCAGGGGGAAAGGAAAATGGGAGTCAGGATCCTGGGGGCTCTAGCCCTAATGGGCCTGGCTACAGGCTACATTTGAACCAAGCAAGAACATCTGTTTTCCTTAGTTCCTTTAAAGGTTACCAAGCTGGAGCCCACAGTGGGCACGCATGAGTTAGCTGCATAAGTGCGCCAGTCAGCAAAAGAGCAGTCCAGTTGAGACCGCCCAAAAGGAACTTCAATGTTGAAAGGAAGTAACAAACTAGGAGGAAACACAACATTATCCAGCTGACAGCTGGGGTTCCTGCACTCACATGGTGACCATATGGTACACATTTGTAGTTTGGGTCACCTCCACCTCCGCTCCTGGTGGACACTTCGGAGGAAATCCCAAGCCTGGCCTTCCAGGCTCTCCCTGCAGGTGAAGACCACTTCCACAGGTGCAGGTGACCTACTGTACTCTAGAAGGTTAGTTCCTCCGAACAGCTTCTCTGTGCTGCTGGCTATGGGACCCAATATGCCCTTTGCCAGGCGTCCAAGCTGTTCTCCCATCTGGACTGAGTCCTGGCTCCTCTACATCCTTCTAGGACAGAGCTAGGAAAAGAGATCTGAGGGGCAGCTCTCTACCTGAAGGGGAAAGTGCCATACTCCTGCCTAAGGCCCTGTACTATCCTTAGTTATAGTTGCCTAGGCCACTCCCTTCTCTAAGCCTCAGTATCCCCACGACTGAAGGATGGTTCTTAAAGACCCCTCAAGTTCAGAAGTTGTTTATGCAGTAGGCAGTCTATCTTGCACTCTTCAGCTCTTTGGAGTGTTTCTTTCATTCCTCAAAGACCAAGTGGACACAAGACTTCTCCCTCCTTGGCCTTCTAGAAGAGGAAAAGAAACTTTTCCAAATGTCCTGCCAACCCTCAAACCCTGTTCTGAAACAAAGAAAAGTCTAGTGCTTCTTTCTCTGTGCCCTCCTCAGGGTCAGCGCCAACAGAGGGGCAGAAAGGTGTAGGCAGGGTTACCTTATTCACTCCCTGTGGTGTTGTGAGTCTATTCTTCAAAATGGCTTTTCTAGGCCACTACTCTTGACTTAGTCACCTGGCTAGGCTGGAACATGCAAATACAGTGTGTTAGTCGATCTACAAGGAAATTGGCTAGTATTCTCATTCCACTAGGTTTAAACTGTGTAGGTTCAGTGGTAGAAATCTGGGATCTCATCACTGGAAAAGAAAAAGCAACACAGAATGCAGCACATGTCCTTCAGGACCAGAAATTCTTACACCAACAAGACCTACAGGAGAACAGCAGAGCCATGGCAGAGAATGAGAAACCCAAATACCAGGATCAGGTCTTTGCCCAAGCTTGCTAGAAGACTGGGAGGGGGAGATGCCTTAATTGGCAGGACCAAGAGAGATTTGTCAACACTGGCCTAAAGCTGCAAGGCTGAAGAGTCTGCAAGCATACTTCAGAGGCTGAAAAATTTTCTTTTTGTTGCCATTCTGATTTATGACCTGTTAACTTCCCTAATAACTCCAAAATCATGAGTATGATCCTGTGTGCATTTTGGACCCAGGAGGGGAGTATTAGAAATTAGTAGAAGTAGGCGTGGGAGCATGGGGGACACGTCTTACCTCACGGAAATTGGTTTTGTGTTGCGGATGTTGCTGCTAGAAACAATCTCCCCTTGTAGAGTTAGCAAAGGTCAGATAAGGCTATCCTCATACCACACTGGCTGTTTTTAACACTCCCAAATAGATCCTCTACACTGCCCAAGTGTCCCGCAAGGTTGAGACAAGAAATCATTCCACAAAATATTAATCAGAGGGAGAAGTAGGCTTTATCATACACTCTGAAAATGTCAATCCTCGACACGATCAAGTTCATACTTAAACACCTGGACTAGCATCAAGATGAAATTTGTGATTACATAACCACTTCAAGCCAGGGCCATTCTGCCTGACAGGAAAGGTTCCATCAAGTCTGTGTCAGCGAGGGAAACACCCTGTTTGGTGGCTCCTTTTCCTTCTTGGATAGAGAAGGGGATGCTGCTGGCAGGACAGAGCAATATGGTTTAGCAGATGGAGAGAAACTGCTGTAGGAAGGATGTAGGGCAGAGACTGAAGAAAGAGGTTTTTTAAAGCCTGCCTACAGCTGATGAGCTGGGGTGAGATGGGTAAAATAGAAGGGTTCCAGCATGAAAAGAGGAGGAGAAAAGAAGTGGTAGTTCCTGCCAAGAAAAAGCAGGGAACCAGGCTCATGGAAAGGAGACTGAGGGTCCTCGCATCACAGCAGATGAGGCCTCAACCTAAGAGGACCTAAACTGGGAGGGTGGCTCAGCTAAGAGGAGTCAGATCCAGAGCTCCGCTAATTTCCTTAGCTCTCCCTGCTGTGAGAAAGGGCTCCAAAGCAGATGGTTCTTCCCTCATCTCTTCTGTGGCTGCCCACCAAGTCGCTTTACATTACAAAATGGACTGGGGCCTTATCCTAAAGTTGATCTGGAATTCTCCAGCTTTCCTGAAGGGGCAAAGAAACTGCAATAGAATGGCCTCTCGCCCACCTCCTTCCCCTAGGAGGAAGGGGGAAATTGGTCCTCTCTTCCTCTCTGGGGCGCTGGGCTCACACAAATGTCATCTCCAGGTCCCCAGCCACAAGGGTGATTCAGGCCATTGACTCAGATCCATGTTAATGAGGTTTTTTTTCTGCTACCTAATTAGTTCACAGTGAATTTAGCCTTAAGAGGGACGAGAGAGGGTTGAAAAAGGACAGAAGGAAGTCAGTCTGAAACCATTAAAACAAAAGGGCAGGATCTCAGCTCCAAGTGAGGTCTTTTACAGAAGACTGAATGCCCTGTCCTCAGCTTTGGGACCTCTCAAAGCAGAAAAGTGATGTTCAAGTCGGAGCTCTGAAGTCTCACACAAGGTAAAGAAGAAAAGTGGGCCTTAACCTACCCACAACCCCATGTCCCTAGCAAAAGTTCCTGCATTCCGCCTCGTATTTTCAATAAGGCTGGCGGGTGTCCCTCTTCAAATCGAACGTTGAAGGAGCAAACAGATGGCTGAGGGCAAGGCCCATCTGCCCGCCTCCCTCGAGAAGGTCACCATAGCAGGGGGGCATCTGCAAACAGCGTTTATCCCCTACTCCTGCCCCTTGGTAGCGGTATGAGGCCAAGAACCTAGAAAAAGGAGCGCTGGGTGCTCCAGGCCCGGGGCACTATGTCCCGGGAGGTCAATCAGAGCCCCGCAGCACTCTGGCTCACTTCCAAGGGCCTCTACGGAGCAAAGTGGTGGAGCTGGGAGCCAGAGAGACCCCAAGCAGCCTCGATGCTCGGAGTAGGGACCGAGGGCCGGCTGGAGCGCCCACGCGGCTGCGGCGCCTTAGCCCGCGCCAGACCCAGCCCACAGCCAGCTCGGCGCAGCGGCGTGGGGGTGTGTGCGCCGGGAGAGGGCGCGGCGCCACCATCCTCCCAGCCCACAGGAGATGGGCTGAAAGCGGCAGTCCACTAACGGATTCCCAATGTCCCGGCCAATGTAGGGATAGAGCCGAGCAAGTACCCAGACCGCTTTCCGGCGGCAGCCTCTCTGGGCCTTCAGGCCCCTCTGCTGCGCCCATCCTCCCCAGATCTGGTCTCGGCCCCAGGCAGCCTCTGCGGCTCCGAGCGCACCCGTCCCGAAAATGTGTCCCATGACAGGAGACCAACCTCCAGCCCTAACGTGTCCCCAGACGAGACATGGCGAAGCCTGCGCAACGGCTCTGCTGCGCAGCCGGCTAACGAGCCGCGTGGCCCGAGCCGCAGGCGCGCAGGGATCCCAACGCGGAGAGCGTGGCCAGGCAGGGCCCACGGCCCCTGGTGCCCGCAGTCCCCGGGGCCGCTTGCTCACCCTCTATAGAGATGACGTGCTCCCGGATCTGGTTCTGCAGTGCCAAGTCCTCGATGCGTTCAATCAGGTCATAGATGGCGTAGATATTGGGATGCACGGACTCAAAGCGCTGGATCTCGGCCCGGATGGCCGCCGAGTT